AGATACTATAGTTATCGAGGACTGCGCACTACGAAGAATCGTGGAATCTTACTGTCGAGAAATGGGTGTCCGAGAGTTGCAGACGAATTTATGGCGAATTTTCAGGCGCGCGGTAGTTCGGTTTTGCGAGGGGACGGAGGAGCTCCCTATGAGAGTAACGGAAGAGAGTCTCGTCGATTGGCTGGGCTTGCCAACCTACCCTGGAAATCGTTGGACACGTGGTATCTCTCCCTCGAGTGCATCGGTGGTTGGTTTGGGATGGACCGAGGCCGGCGGGACGATGCTGGAAGTAGAGTGCCTGCCGAGCTCAGAGTGGTTGATAACGGGGCAGGTGGGAGTGACGCTGCAGGAGACTGTCAGGATAGCGGCAAGTTGGAGCAAGATCACTAATCCTATGCACGTCAATATTGGCCCTGATGTCTCAGCAAGGAAGGACGGTCCTTCTCTCGGCCTAGCGTTAGCGGCACTGTTCTGGGCGCAGCGACGAGAGCGAACGGTTCCTCACGGGATTGGTTTCACGGGGGCGATAACGCTGAGTGGAGGAGTAGAGCGCGTTGGTGGTATCCGAGAGAAGGTGGTGGCTGCGAGTTTGGGAGGGCTAAAGGTGGTGGTGTTACCCAAAGCGAACAAGGCGGAGTGGAAGGCGATAGAAGATGGATTAAAGGATGGGTTGGAAGTTGTTTTCGTAGAGGACCTGACGGAGCTCGAAGGCTTGCTAGATGAGCTTGCGGAATTGAGAAGGGAAAGTTTCATGTATGAAGTGTGATGGTTTCTGTTAGCAGTCATTGAGGTTGCGTTTGACGGGACAGTATCACATTGGGGAGAAGACCGCTGCCTCTATGACGCCCATTGATCACACGGCCATACAACGAAGTTGCAAATATATTGAATGCTGAGTAGGCCGTTCGTGAAACTCAGAATCGGACTTCATTTTCCATTGTAAAGTGGTGCCGGTTTATGGTAGTCTCCAGCAGTGGATGAGGCATAATTCATGACTTCCTAGTGGTGGAATGTTACCACCGAAACTCTCGATCATGTTTTGAGAAACTCGTGTTTCGGAGGGGAAAAATCTCCAAGCCCGGTGGATGTCATTCCTTGATAACCTCGCATACTATAGTGAATAGAAAAAATCACCACAACACAGCTCACACAGAGTCATTGAAGACACTCAGTCTTCACTTCTGTCCTGAAGTACCACAAGGAGATACCTGTAGTAGACAGCGCAACTGTGCGCCTTTCATACTTACTAAGCATTGCTTAGCGTCGAGCATAGCTAAGAGCGTGTCTCGCACTGTTCTCCTCTAGGATAAGAACAGGTTTCGTCTTTGTCTTGGGAACCTGTGTTCATGAGCAGCCCGAGGGTGACGCTCACTACTAAAC